AATTGCAGTGTACTTTAGAAAGGTATTAAATGTTGGAGTCATTGTTATTAAACACGGGTGGTTTTGACTTAGTTTTTCCTCTTGGGCCAAAATGTTCCCACCCGAGAAATATAACATGGTGTCCCAGCAGTGAATATTAATATTTTTGTATCTTATGCTGTGCTCGGGTGGCTCGGCTTTCCGGGTTTGATACATTGCGTTGTTAATTTGACTACTGACTGCACGTTTCAGATTCAGGCAGACCTTCCCCTTGCATTGTAGAGAGACCTGTCAGAGCCTCCCACCCCGCGGCCCCCACGCTCGGAAAGCTGCAGGAAAACGGCCAAGATCAGCAGAACAGCTCAGAGCAAACACGCCGTCAAGGTCCAGCCTTGACCTGAGGTGACAGAGAAATAAATGTAGCCTCCACAGCCAGCCAGAGTCAATATTTGAACACTAGTGCATTGTTTCTGTGAGAGCGGCAACACCCAAACTACCCATGCTGTGTAGTACACAGCCCTGCAGTAGTGTTTCCCCCCCCTTTTTTTAAAAATTCATTTTGATCAATCAATCAAAATGAGCTTGATTGATTGATAGCAAGTATTTGTAGAAAAGGTCTCTTTTGCATTTATAAATGTATTTTTTTATGTCAAAACTCTAGTTAGAGTCGGCTTTACAGCCTCATGCTGCTTTATGTCGATTATATGCTGAAAGCAATTAAACTCTAATTTATTGGGCTTCAAACAGTGATCAATAAAACCCGAAAGGAGCCGATTTCAACACAAACTGAGATAAAGTCAAACCAAATGAAGGACAAACTTTTCTATTGGGCGCAGCATCAAACTGGTACAAGTCCTCCCCTGCTGGTGGATAAGAGGTACTGCATGAATATCAATCAACTCCCACTATCAGTATGAAACATGATGGCGCTGAGCTGTACAGACTGTGGATCAGACAAATCTATTGTTTAGTGTTGTTTTCTTTGATTATCAATAAAGATTCTCATGTTTTTACGCAGTCAGGAAATGTCGTTCTTCAAGCACAAATAAGAAAAAGAAAACTTATAAGTATTTAGTAGCGTGTTCTTTATTTATTTAACAAAAATATGAATTTCTGAGGAAAAATGGCCTGCTATTAAAGTCTGCAACTTCTTGTTTTGTGACCACAGTTAGCTGTTTGTAACTTTTAATTCAAATGTAATCCAAAATAAATTTGAATGCTAGAAGTCCTGTTGTGTTCATAAAAGAAAACCTTTTAAATTGAACATGTTATTCCAAAATGGTCGGCAACTTCCAGTTTTAGGTTGTTGCATATTTTTTGGACTATGCACAGATAACAGAACTCACATGTCCAGACTTTATATGAAAAGTGCCAGAGGTTTGAGGCTTGAAAAGTTTAAACATTTTTAAAATGGGAACATCTGTAGGAAGCATGCATGTCAGACATGGGGTCATGTTTTTTATTTCTCACAAATATTGTTTTTTTTTAATAGAAACACAAATACCCTATAATGAACATCCCTAAAGTAACCAGTCTCTCGTAAAAGAAACGCCAACCAGAAGCTCTCAACCTAATTGGGATGCTGCACCTTGTATGGCCACACGAGGGCAGCCAATCTCAGAAGTGGCACCTACTTTTGATGGCTTTATTTTCCTGTTGCAGGCCAGACTGCCTGGAGCCACAAGGCCGGTAGCTGCTGCAGTTGCTGCAGCTGCTGCTGCATAAAGTCACACTCATCACTGCTGGCTGTTTTATCAAAGAAAACCTCTGATGGAGACAATGTTCCTAAATAGCTTGTGACTAAGAAGAAGGAGCTCTGCATGAGAATTTTACTAAAATTTAACCCATTTTAATTCAATTGATTATTATTTTTTTACTTTCATCTTTCTGTTTAAATTATAATTTCAGAGTTTTTTCAACTGGCAGAATCTCAATGTTTTAAGTGCCTTGCTTAAGGGCATATCGACATGTGGCAGTGGAGGAAGCTGGAATTGAACTTATTGCTGATTCACAGTCAGTCCTAATTAATCTGATAAGACGTTTCTATAAATTAAATGTTTTAAATAGAAGCTTAAATTAAATTCGATTTAGTTTTGCCATCCCCAACAAATTAAAAATCTAGGAAATGCTCAAAATTCCAGGTTTGCAGTCTTGCACAATGCATAAAAGATCAAATTCAACGCAGCAAACATAAACTCCCTTCTGACTCCACATGCAAAAAAAAAAAAAAAAAAAAAAGCCACAACTGAGTAGTCATATTTTTTCAAAGTGACGGTTTCTCCCTCGCCAATACCAGCCTGGCCCAGCTCACAAAAAGAGAGAGAGACACGTGTACAGTTTTTAATAAACAGCTGCCAAAAAATCTTTATTCAGTCATAATGGTTTGCTGCAGAATGAGTCTCTCTGCAGAAAGTCTAAACTGTTCAAACAACACCAGGAAACGCGAAAAAGTAAAACACGGCTTACAACAAGAGAGATGGCAGTTTCTACATACAGAGATCACAGGAATCAAAACATTACAGTTAACAGTCAGTCAGATTCTTCTCATGTAGAAAAGGAAAGTCTTCATATACTGATAGAATCCGTTTTATAGTGTGGGAACGAATATAAGGAAATGTCAGAGGTGCAGTAGAATATACATTTTGCGAAAGAGAAGGTATATATTGCAGCTATTTCTGTATGTTGGTTTGATAAATAGATCCTTACTGACTCAGTGTGTGACACCGATGGCTGCTAGTGTGTGTGTGCGTGTGTGTTATGGAGACGTAGACCATTTAAAATGTGCAGAACGCGAACATTCAGTTCAAACATGGCTTTGTGTGTGTGAGGTCCAAATCCCAAATGTACTTTTTGGGATACATTTTGATGTTGCTTTGTTTTTTTTTTTAGAGGTTTTTTTTTTTTTTTGGGAAACTAACTGCTGAGGTAAAAGTGAGGGTTGATGCCAAACTCACATCTGAACGTCAGCTTTGCAGAGGTGGCTCAGCATTAAGAGGTCAAAAGGTGGAAAATAGTTTTGTCAGTTCAAACTTTTTATTTTTTATTTTTCTAGATTAAGCCAAAATCTGAAAGCACAATGAGAGCAGTGGTGCTGCCAGACCTTCCAAGATGCTCTGTTCTCCATTTCAATCTAAGCTTTCAATAAGTATACCTGCAAGGGTTTCAAACAGATTCATCAGAAGATAAATTACTATACTCCAAAGCAATAAAGTGCCGATATAAACCTGATAAATTGGAGACGAGCTTCATTTATCATCTAAAGCTTTGAGAAACTAACCCAGATGTTTGCCCTGGTTTTAAAGATCCAAGAATTTGTAGGAACAGATTGTCACCAGACCTTGTAAAAATAAGGTTCTCTAAACTTCAGTTTAATCAAAATATTAACTCCGTAGAAATGACAGACAGCTGCACCTTAAAAAAGAAACACAGAACCATAAGTACCCAGCGCTCTCTGATGATATCTATCCAATAATTAAGAACACACAATTCATAACCATTCAACTTTTCTACACTTTCTCACAACAAACATCTATGGGGTCAGTATTTTATGTTGCAGAGTAAGACGGAGCCGTGCATAAAGGAAACATCTGGGAAGTGCGCTGTATACCCCCCCTTTACTCCGACAGCCTTCAATAAAATCTAGTGCAAGAAATTCCCTTTGCTGGTTAAGACCAAGGGCAGTCAGAATAACAATATACTTTACTGATCCCAGAAAGAAAATTGCTTATTTGTTGAGAAGCTACTCCATCCAAAATGTCAAACATTAGCAATGTAACCATAAGTATAACATAACTATATTAATAAAACCTTACAGCCTCTTTTCAGGGTTGACCTCGACTCTCAGACAGAAATTTGAAAAGAATAACCTCATGTAAGGTTAATTAATTTGTTTCTTTTTTATATATACTATTTAGTCAATCCACTGTTTTGATAAAAAAATAAAATAAAAATTTCATGTGTTAAACTTTCTTTTGCTAACCTTGAACTTGTTGCACAGAATCCAGAAACTGGACAGCAGTGGTTAAGGCCAGCTGACCTCACAGATTGACCCTGCTGTAATGAAACCCAAACTGAGCTTCCCTGCAACCGTGTGCCGCTCGCTGAGCCCTGCAGGCCTCTCCATGCCTCCATGCTGCTTCTTGGAAGCAAATCTCATCAGCCCAGAGAAACCACCAGAGCTCCTCTGTTCAACTCTTATCTCGGTCCCTCCCTGGTCTGAGGGCGATGCTCTGCAGCTATCCATGTTTATGATGACTCGTCACACTGGCTGCCAGCGGGAGGCTCACTGAGCCTCATCAGTCTTCCAGCTGAGAAGGCGAGAGGTGCTGCGGCTTGCACACTGAAATGCCCATTCAGATTGTTTGGGGCCGAGGCGCTCGTGCTCACGGCGAGCTTTTTGTGCTCGACGAAAACAAACAGGAGGAGGCATGAATGTTGCATCGAGCAGATGGGTCGTACCTCGGGAGGTCGCAGGAACGACTCCCCGCGTCACGGCCAGGCCAGCAGCTTCGGCAGAGCTCCTCGACCCAGACACGAGCAGCTTCCACGCCATCCCAGGGTGAGACCCAAAGCCGCAGGGACATATGTCAGGCGGCGAGGGAACAAACCGCTCTGACAGCGAGACATCATGTCCAAGTGCAAGTGTTTGTGTGAGAGGGTCTGAGATGGTGAAGCTCTGGAGCACAGAGATCTTCATATGGTCCTTTTTACATATTTATTCAGTTTTAGCTTTTTTTTGTGTTGTTGTCAACTTATATGGCGGAGATCTTCAACCAAACCTTAATATCATAAATAACCTGACTGAATACGATAATCAACTCTCCAATGATGATTGGAACAAATTGTTTGAGATTTTAATTTGCTTGCTTGCGGTTTGGCTAAGAAGATATTTCGGCTTCTCCCTAAGACTATATTTATTCCACTCAACTATCACCACTGCTTTCATTTGAACATTTCAGAAACACGTTTTGACTCCAGAATTTCTTCTTGTTCTGTTTTTTAAAATCCTCCCTGTTAACGAAACGAGATCCTGAGCTTCTCAGCGTGAAACAACACCCGCTCCGCCTTCCTCTACTGACTTCCATCTCTGCGCAACGTCAGACACGTTGGAGTTTGACATTTTCCAACCCGGCTGGGTCACCGAATGCGCTGAGCAGGACGGGAGGGAGACGGGCTGCATCTACAGTTGGGGTCGTACAGGTCAGAAACACGTAGAAAACATTTACATTTCGAGGCTTTCAAAGGATATAAAAAAAACAAACAAAAAAGTCAAAGGAAATTGTGCCAAGCTCCTGGAGGGCGGAGAGCAGCTAACGAACTGGCATGTTTGTGCTTCCCAAAATGGCCGAGACGGCCTAACGAACCGAAGCAGGCCACTACGGCTCTAATGTAACAGCTGTTTAAGTCGACCTGTTTTTTTTATCTCTATGTGACCCAGAAAATGTACTTTTTTTTTTAACTTTAGCAAAGGCGATGAAAGTTCGGATTTGTCACCACATTTTTGGCGGACGATTCTGCACCTTGCATCCGAAATTTAACGGGGGCGTCGATGGAAGGTGTCCTTTCAAAGTGCTCGGGTAAACTACAACAGAAAATAAAACCACTGTGGGTTTTTTTTCTCTCTCTCAACACCAATTATCAGCCGTGGGAGCAGCTGAAGTTGGGCTCAACGCCCACACTGAGGCGACGCTGGCTGTTCTCAACCCGTTCACGGTGCTACGGCACACATAAAAGACACTTATATAAAGTCACTACTTCACTTATTCGCATGCACATGCAGCATTAAAAACACTGTTAGACCAGAGGAGTACACCGTTTGAAGAGAAAAGTGTAAAAATCCAGTGCGACAGTCATTGAGTTCTTGAGGTCTACGTGATTTTAATTATATATATATATATATATATAAAAAGAAAACAGCCAGTGAGATGATCCTAGTCAGAGAGGGACGGTCGCCACTCTCTGTTGCATATTCAGGTTGAACCCCGGGGAACTGTGTCACTAATGCCTCTGAAGGAAAACAGCCAATTAATGCTGCATTCAAAGCCAATAATGGAATCAGGGCCCTGATCATTAGCCCTGACGGGAGGGGTTCTTTTTTTCTTCCATTAAAAGCCATTAATGTTCATCCACATTCGACGCTGAAAGCGAGAGGAGTCCCGCTCAGGCTCCTGTGGAAGGCGGATTATTTCACAGACTGTTTTGGTGAAGGAAGCTTCCTTGATTTCCCAAACATTCCCGGTGTGCACCACGGCATCTCCTCGCGCGGTGGTCTAAAGAGCCCTTAGCGTGAAAGGGAGAGAGAGAGGAGTCATGTTTGGGAAAACAAAGACGACAGTCGCACAATAAACGACACGAGGAAATCGTCATAGTAGTTTGAAAAAAAAAAAAAAAACGGTTTACAAGTTACAGCAAAGAGTAGAAAAGTCACCCCAGGTATCTTTCTGGTATCCAAAAAAAAAAAAAGAAAAAAGAAAGGGAGAGGCCAAAACGGGTCTCTCTCCGTACACAACGCATCACAAATCTACTGACTCATAGATACAAAAAATAATAATAAAAAAGCTGAACTCAGACTAGCCAGCACCAGAAACATTCCATCGTCGTCTTCGTCCGTGTGCTGCTGACTGAGCAGGCACACGTCCCACAGTTTCAACACGCAACGTGGTGAAACTCCACGCTTATCAAGGCACATTCAACACTCCTCCAAATATACCCAGACTGAAGATGATCCTGGAGCAACAACACACACGCACGCACGCACGCACGCACACACACACACACACACGCTTATAGGTCATGTTGTTTCGAAAACCTTGAGCACTTTGCTAAAGTTTTGCCACATTACAACCACAAATGTAAAACCGACATGTGAGCCACTAAGAAATTAATCTGAAGTCTTAAAGTTATAGCTGACCTGGAGGAATCCAATGAGCAATTTGCTATAAGCTACCGGGGACAAAGTGAAAAACGTAGAAGAAGATGCTTTGGTTAGAAGCGGCCAAAATTAAACTTATTGGCCAAAATGCAAAACGGGGTGGAAAGCTAGCTCTGCTCGTCATCCTGGCCGGATCATTTTCCAGGTCAAGCAAGGTAGTTGCAGAATCATGCTGAGGGAATGCTGTCCTTCAGCAGGATCAGGGAATCTCGTCGAGTTAATAGGATGATGGAGGAAGGTAAATAATGAGGAATGTTGGAAAAAAGCCGGTAAAGAAGCTTAAAACTTCAATGAAGGTTCACCATCAAGACAATGTCAGAGCTATTGTTAAATGTTATAGATCAAAGCATAATTGCATAAAATAAAATGGTTAAAACCTCATATTATTTTCCCCGTCAAGCTTAAAATTTGTGCACCACTTTGAGTTGATTTATCTCATTACATTCCAGTAGAACCGACGGAGGTTTGAGGCTGGAATGTGACAAAAACCGAAAGGTTCAGGTGTGGATTCTCTGCAAAGCTGTGAAAATAATAAGTGGCAGAAACAACTTTAGTCTCTGCGACTCATTTTCACATTCCTGAATAAACGAGAGAGTGAAGAGTGAACGCGAGAGAGACTCTCCTCTTTTCATCGACAACAACACTCTGCACAAGGCAGCCAACGAGAAAAACAAACACACGGTGACCCGTAAAGACGGCAGGCGGAAAACCTGACTTCCAACTCCTTTAGAGCGCCACCTGCTGCCAGCCTGCAGAACGCATCTATATCTGCAGGGAGGCAGATAAAGATGCTGCCAGCCTGCAGAACGCATCTTTATCACCCCCGCTGGGAGGGGAGGCGGCCGGTTAATCAGCAACCACAGAGCCGAGAGGAACTTCCTTAACAGAACAAAAGTCTCTTCGCCACACCAACCATGAGCAACGCAAACAAAGACTTGAGAGAGTACAGTTCTGGATACTGGTGCACACCGATACTGGTTAGATATACTGCACTACGGCTTACATTGTAGCATACTGACCTACATACGGATGATACAGGATATATTAAGTGTCAGTTTCTTGTCACGCACACAAGTGTTGTCGTGTAGCTAAAGATCAGTTACATAAACCAGGACTCCATATAAAACTGTCACCAACATGAGCTGCAGTTAAAGCCACTGCTGCCCGTAATTACATTGGACACGCGGCCAGAGTCCACCGTTAACTCAGAAGAAGAGAGTTTTACAACAGCCATAAGCACGAAGACGCAATCTTTGTTTTATTCCGCGCATAATTCACAGCTCAGCCCTTCATCAGGCAGCACAGAACAACCAACAGCTCTTTGCAGAAAACAAAACAAAGCCATCAAAATCTCGCTGGCCTTCTGAAGGAACAGCTTCCAATCGTCCTTGCCAGAAAAATCCCCAAATCTCCGTCCACAAGATTTGGAGGTTGAGAGATGACTTTAATATAAATAAATCACATCAGATGCCATTAGGCATCATTAGAAATATGTTTTGGCCAGGTTTTCCTGAAACAACATGGATTATTCAGAAACTCCTACATGCTTCAAAGTGTTCATTTGATGGTTTGGTAAAACGCCAACAGGACCTGCAATCTTAGTCAGAAAAACCAATTTGTTGCAACAAAAGCGAAATAATTCAGAGATTCCTGGACGAAAACACTTATTTTATTCTCTCTGGAGCTTTTGACTGCTTCACATGGTCTTCAACAGAAGTTTAAGTGCTCTGTTGAGGTTTAACCATGCTATTTGTAGCTTGTACTCATAATAGCCCGGATCATTCTGAGAGCTCAAGGCTACAGAATGCATCCAACATCTGCATATAGAAGCTCGCGGCAGCCAGTAATGTAATTGTGGCCATTTTAAACGCAACAAAGCCAATAATATTTTAACATAAAGTGTGTTGAGGCAATCACAAAAATATTTTTGCCAAAAACATAACACATTTTTGGCTATTTCTTATATTGGTGGTGTAAACTTTTAAAAATCCTTAGAAAATGTACTGCGGCTAATAATGCTAAAGCCTATCCAATAGCATAATGCAATGTCTCCAATTCTTTTTAAAGAGTTTTTGCAGTTTTTTTTAACAACTGGTAAATCAAAAATAGTTGCAGTAAATATTATACTCATATTCGTTTATAAAAACTATGCACGGTGCAGCACTCTCTTTCCTTTACTGAAGATGGTTTGAGCCAGTTCGAGGGACGGTTGTACAAAACCTTTGTTTTTGTTCGCCTGGATATGTCAATCAACAATATTACATGTAGAAAAAACACGTTAAATTCCTGTTACACTTATCTGGTAGTAAGTGGTTTTAAATTTTGGGAAAATAATAATTCCTCCAGTTAAAACAGAGTCTTTCCTCTCCACTGTCGCCATGCGATTGCTCAGTAGGGGGGATTGCTGCAGTTAACGACTCGCTGTATTCTGCTGGGTTTACCTGGAAGAAACATTTTACTCAACTGAACTGAGCTGCACTGTACTATAACTATGACTCAGTTAGAATAAATACTTACATTTTAATCTGCTCATATGACCACACTGAATTATTGTGGACAAATTTGTGAACTAGTGTCAAATAAATTACTGAGATTTGCTACATTTGCAAGGGAATTTTTTAAATGCTATGTGAATAATTATCAGCCAGCCAATAATGTAATAACTTTTCATAAACTGGCAAAGCATGTCACTGTCATAATCTAAAATATAGATAACAAGATTGTAACAATAAAGTTATTACGTTGCTGGCTTTATTACGTTGAAAATAGGAAAATGATTCCTCTACACAGTTAAAGTCTTCCTTTCCTCAAATCAAAACAGGCGAAGCAATACTCAGGTGCATTTATATATTTCATCCTGGCGAATACTAAAAGTGTATTTTAGAGTCGGCTCATGTCTGTACAGTCTTTAAGGCATCAGATTTTGATCCACCGATGAAGACATTGTGTCATAGGTCAAAAGCTCAAGAAAATCTAATAAAAAAGCCTTTAATGAGTATCACTCTCCCTCCATTTTAAGTGCTAAAATATTTTACTTGTGCCTCAACGCACTTCAGCGTGCCGGCGTCTGATAGAAAGCGATCCGGTTGCTTTGAACTCCTGTGATCTTCTCCACGTGCAAAATATTGTTATTCCAAATGTGTCCTTTATTACAGTAGCATAATATCATACTACCAACATGTGAAGATGTATGCAGGAGATGTGAACATTCGTCTGATGAGCCAGATCTGTTTGTTTAATTATCTTGCTTAAAGACTCGGCCATGACACATTTTCAATTTTCCAACAGTGTCCACCAAGGTTTTAAACTAACATTTTGTGGTGTTTAAAACAGTTCAAGTCCAATAATTTTAGTGCTCTAACTGTGTCAATTACTATTATTATTATACTTTCTTTCCTCATCCAGTCTTGTTTATCGCGGCTCCAGTGATTTCAAACTACTCGATTGCTTTGACTGTAGATATGGCCGTGTTTAAACAAGCAGCTATTTATTTGGAGCTGATTAGTTTCCCCAGGGATTAGTCTGAAATGCATTCACCTCGATTAATAGGAACGTTCACTTATCTTTTCCATTTTGAAGAGCAGCTAAAAGAAATCAGCCTGCATCACATTACACATCTGACTTACGAGAATAAGTTTTTAGCTTTGTTTCTATTTTTCTCTTTAAATAAGTATATTTAAATAAAAAGTGGGGTTTCTTTTAATACATTTTTTTTCTTTCTGAAGTGATGCTACTGCAACAAGAGATGAATTTCTCTTCAGGCCTTTTCCACATCTTCACAGAGATGTGTGGAGGGCGCCGTAGATCCAGGCTGCGCTCGTCACTGATTTGTGTCCGGACACATCGGCAGGCTTCAGTCAGGGTGTTTTTTATTTTCATGTTCTCTACAGCAATATAACAATGCGTACAAAAATGGAATCGATGCGATCAGAGGGAGAAACAGCACTGCGTGGGGATTTATAGCACCTCTGTTTCTCCCCCCGCCGCGGCCACAGCACCAGAACCTCGACCTCAGCGGGCAGGAGGCTCTAAAAGCACCGTCAGGCTGGAGCAATCTTTGTGCCGTTGTTGACGGACGACGCTCTCGGCACTGTGAAGCAGGTCGGACCGTTCCAGGAACAAGTCCTGGAGTTTTCCAGGGGGAGCTGACAAGTACAGCAGCAAGAGCTCTTTTGAGTTTCATTGGGAACAAACCACAAATCAACAGTGTTACATAAGCTCGACTTTAGCCAAATCTGGTAAAAACGGAAACAGACTAGCGATAATATCTGGTGAAATTAGCTGCCTGGAGATGCCGCTGCTTCGTTTGCATCCGGCTTTGCCAGCAACTCTGAGGACTGCAGGGACTCGTTCCTGGAACCTGGACTGCGGCTGATGCCAAACGTTTCCGAATTCGAGTGCAGAAGGACAGAAAAGCGCCACAGTGGTGGAGAGAAAGCAGTGGGAAGTACACGAAACAATAATCACACATTGAAAAAAAAAAAATAAACCAACAGAAACATTTTCAACTCGGCTGCCAACTAAAAGGTTCATAAACTCAGACTGGACCCGAGCGAAACCGGTTGACACTTGGAGAAAGGTGTGCAGTTCCGAAGCAACTTCGCCTGGAGTTCCTTCAGTTTCCCACGCTTGGATGGAAACACAATTAGACTTCAATCATCTGTGGGTTTGGGCTGCGTTCAGCGGATTAGTGGGAACATGAAGGAGCACCAAGTGGGTCACACTTCCAGACAACAGCACCACAAGCTGAGATTGTAATGAGGTTCCTCCTACAGCCTCCTCAGAAGAACATGAAAATAAAACGAATAAACAGTTTATATATGCATATACATATGAAAAAATAGTGAAAGGAAAACAGCCTAAGCTCTTTTCTTTCCAGCTTTGAATTTAAATGTTTCTCTTTTTCTGAAACTATATAGATTTGTCCTTTTTTTTAAAACAACAATATGTTCACATTGTACAAGGGCGAACGAGCTTTGAATTAATCTAAATGTAACGGCAGAAGAAGCACAATGAATCCGACATTAAGGCTAAACAGCAAACTTTTCTAAAAAAAAAACAAAAGGATTCAGTTGAACCACTTGATCTATGAGCTTAAAAACAAAACAAGCATAGAGTGATACACAAGATCTCCATATATACAGAAACAACAACAGAAAGGACAAAAGTAAGAGCTATGCCTGCAGATGTGGAAGTACTGAATGGTAAAATGGCAAATGCGAGTTTATCAGCTGGTGTTGGTTTATAATAACTTGTGTAAAAATGGCTGACTGGAGTACAAACCAGGATTAGAGCATGCGTTTAAAGCAGGGCGAACACGCAAGAGGAAAAGACGAGCTGCCCGCTTGTCCGACTCTGCGTCTCGTCTTCAACACGTTGGTTTGTGATTCACAACACTGTAATAAAGTTGGCCTCTGACCCTACGTTGCCTCTGAGGCAAAATGGAATATGAAATTCAATGAGCTCTTTTTTTTTTTTGGGAAAAGAAAATTTCTTCAATTATAATCTGAAGCTTAGGCTGTAAATCTGTTTGCATGATGGGAAGTGAGCGGATAAGTGCAGTGCATGGTAAACAACACCCAAGTGACCTAACAGGGTGCCGGACATTTCACCAGTTTGCCATTTCTTACTTTTCTCATTTGACTTTTGCAGGTATGAAAAAGAGCCTTCTGCCATTGAGATGAACTGGGAAAACAACGACCGGAATCTGATGATTTGAGCCGGATCGGCCTTGACCAGCAACAAGTCGAATGGAAATGAAAAAAAATCCTCTCTTTCAGAGAACATTAGCCCTAAATGGCCACACCGACAGCACTCTTCAGTGTGGAAGTTTCTATAGAGTGACAAAGTCTCGAAACTGTCTTTTTTCAGGAGCAGTGAGGCCTTTCAAATCGTCAGAAGCATGAAGACAAAAAAAATTACTTACAAGAAAATTGTAATGATAGAACATGCCAGAACAAGTTCATACAGTCTGCAAGAGTGAGAGAGAGTAATCATTTGAGTAGACAACAGGAAGGCCTTGTGTTTATGTTTCATGCATTAGAAAATGCTAGCTATTAGATCTTTCAGGGTCTTCATTTTCTAGCAATGTGGTAAAAGTCTCACATACAGGACTCTGGCTAATTTGAGTGGTATTCACAAGAAATCTTGGCACAACTGCAACCTGTTTAACCGGGATCTACAAGGAATAAATACCAACAGCTAACAATATGAACTATGCAAAGATGTTGACTTTTTCTGTCACAGAAAAGTGCAGAGAAGTTCCAGAGAACTAAAGTGGATTACTAACAGGTGCGTGTGACTTTTTGGGTAGCACCAGTTCTGAAGTTGGACCTCGAATCTGGGAGTGTTATCCATCCCAATTTAACAATGTTCCAGGAAAGAAAACAAGCAGGACTTGCTAAGCAATATGCTGAGTTAACAGCAGCGGTCTTAACAATATAAAGCGGGTCCCATGGTACTTTGCAATCAAATTAAAGATATCACTTAAAATGTAAAAAGGAAAAAAAAAAGTTTTCACTATGATTGTCATGATGTTTTACATGCAGAAAAACCACATTAAGTTTTGAGGTCGGGGTTGCTGGACATGTCCAACTTTCCCAACCTTCACGTGACCTTCATGTCAATTTCTTCCAACTTGAAACTTGGACATTTTAACTTCTGATTAAAACAAAAGTGGCTAAATAATTAAATTACATCATCATAATTGATAACAGCTTTTTCCTGTACAACAAACTGTTTTAAAATTGTTTCTGTGACGCCTGAACTACAGAAGTAATCACAGATTTTCAAAAGATTTTGCAGCCACTGCTGTCTCTCGCACACACACAGTGTGACGTCGCCTCTCATTTTTATATAAAACAAGTGATGATCAACGAGTCACAGAGCAGCCGAGAATTAAAATATTTTGTATTCTTATACATTATTTAAATATAGTTCTCAGAAAGAACTCAAAATCTTGCAACATGGGTATTGGCATGTAAAACTTTGCAGAGGCAAGTTGGTTCTTTTCATGCCATGTATCATAATCACCTTTGGGATTTAACTTAAATTACTGTATTCTGCTGAAAGGAAATGTAACTGTGAGTAGAATAAATATGAGCAGGAGGTATTTTATAGTTATTTTGGTTTGGTCACACGTCATAATCACATTTTTTCTAAGAGTTTAGTGGCCCAAATAAATAACAGTAGTGCAGCCAATAGAAGTAGAGAGCTATATTTCATAAGGGAAAGATAAATTACTCTACGCAAGCATTTGAGAGCATTTTTATGAGATTGATTATGTGTTGTTCATTAAAATACCTAGATGACAAAAATAATCTGCTAAATGGTTGAACAGTTGGTTTATGCCAACACGTAGGTACAAAAATTATGACACAAAATAGCAAAGTGGTGAACTGATCCAGAGCTCTGACAACTTTTCCCTTCACTTCTACAAAAGACAAGAATGGCGCATGCAACTATGTCGTTTTTTTTCTTTTTCTTGTTTGTTTGTTTTTTGCTGTTACATCTCATTCATAGAAACCATTTTAATAAGAAACTGAGTTTACATAGTGGTATGAATCAGTTTTTTTTTTTAAATTAGTGCAATTCTTTTGGTTTTCAGCCCTCCTCGCTTTTGCTTACAGATAAGAAAGATGCACCTTTGTAGCATTTGTAAACAAGGTTTTCCGTTTTAGCGGTTCCCTTCGGAAAACTGCAAAAAGTACCGGAGGGAGAGGGTTACTTATCTCTGCATGTGGTGAAAACATGTTGCTCTTTTTACGGTGCGGCTCCGAGAGCTGCCAGGGAGTTGTTTTCTTTTAGGACGCGTTTTGTTTAAATCTTCAGTTTGATCCCATTAAAACGAGAGAAGAAGCAGATTGCTTGAAACAAGAAGTAAACATGGCACAGCAACAAAAGCCCCCCACAACCCCCCCCAAAAAAGGAAAAACCCATGAATAACATGACAGAGGAAAGAGGTTTTGGTACAAAGTTCAGAAGCTGCTGAGATGGAAGCAGCTCCATCTCAGCAGCTTAAACCCGACGTTTAAGCTGCTGGTTCTTTCACTTTGAGAATCACATCCCTGAACAACAGGAAGGAAAAAAATGACGTGAATAAGCAGGTTATTGTTTGTTTAAGTGTGATGTGGTCCATCTGTTTACCCTGACTTAAGTTTGCATTGATCATTCACCTCGTGTGTCTCTCGCTTCCTTCCGGTTCCCGCCTTTTATCCCATCCCCTTGCGTTCCCGCGGAGGAATGATTGTGACGCCGGTTTTAGAATATGACCTCAAAACGTCCAGAAATGAATCAAAACGAGGGAAAGGGTTGAAAGAAGACCAACAAAAAATTCTCCTCCAATGTTCTTCTTTTGGATAGAAAAGTAAAAGTCTTCCTTTGAGAATCTTTTTATTATAACACAAAAACACTTTTTGGTCTTTTTTTTTTGTTTGTTTGTTTTTCCTCAATTGCTTCTTAGACAAGACTCTCCATTTAAAACCAGAGCTGTACAAAACTAGAAAGATGCAACACTGAACCCGACATGAAAAGATCTATTTTTACACCGGTTAGCTGCACCGGGGCTTCCCATTCACTGGGAATGACGAGAATGGTGGAATTCGGAATCCTGGACAGAACTGGGAAAAACCAAAAGGATAAGAAAAAAAAAAAAAAGAAAAGAAAGAGAAGCCGCTCTGCTATCCTTCATTTGCCTTCGCTGCTGGAAGGGATTCGCTAACGTGGAAGAGGGGCTGGAGCTTGACGGATAGTTGCGATTCTGGGCTGCAGAAAGACCAAGTGCATGCAAAATGACGCCACATTTCTCTGGCCGACGGCTACGGCGCCTGCTGCTGAGGCGTTGCATTGGCCGGCTGGGATCAGTCGGTGAATCTCTGACAGGCTTTCTTCCAGCGGCAGGCGGTGCACCACATGTCGCGGTTTTCCATCCCATACACCTTGCGGCACTTCTTCCCCTCGCCGCGCACTTTCCGACTGGGGAGGCGACAAACGGAAACAAGACAAAAAAGTCATGATGTGGAGAAGTGAACAATTAAGGTCCATTGCGCTAATGTGCAAAATAATTTTCGAAACAGGTGCATATTTTTGCAGATAATGAGCAGCGAGCGTCCGGTACCTGAGGGCAGAGGTCGCTCTCGGAGGGGACGAAAGGACGGCGATGGTCTGGGACCGCTGCTCTCCAAATCCCTGGCTTTTAGTGGGAGACGCCTGGAGAGAGGACACAGAAACTTAATCATGTGAAGGAAAGGTTATAGAAAAGCAACAGAAATGTTTTAACTGCAAAAATTGGATTGCATTTAATTGCAAACTCTAAAGATTATTTTGAAATTAAAGTTTCCAAAGTATTTTAGTATCTTTTATTAACTTTAAGTGGTCCCTTTTTCCCTGGTTATATTTCCTTATGTGTAAATGCAAAAATTTTCCATTTACTTTTCTTTGCTGCTCTGTTAAACCATTTCAAAATTCCCATGTTTCACAAACCCAGTTTTGCAGATTTTTTCATATAGGTTTTAGAAACATGGCAATTAGTGCAAAATACTAAATTACTCATCAGTTCTTGTAAGAAAAAAAGTGTATTGTCCATTTTCTTTATGCCTTGAAGTAAAAAAAAATCATTAAGACGTCAAAACATCTGGACTAGACTGTCACCTTTTGTATGACCTTCAAAAAAATCTAAATGATAAAACATTAGGTGAAAAATTCAGCAAACTAAGAAACTAAGACATTTTCAGAAATCAAATTGTCTTTAAAATTTTGGAACATGTTCTCAGACAAGTCTAACATTTTTCTATCCTCCTCATTCTGCGGGTGGAGTCGATGCAGTTTGACGGCTGTAACAATAAACGTCGACGTTCCCTCACCGTGTTTCCTGTGAAGGTGACGGGAGGAGACTGCCAGGAGATGCTGAAGCTGGAGCTGTTGGTGGGAGTGAAACTGGTGGAGGACGAGTTGCTGCTGCTGGAGGGGATGGACACCGGAGCTGTGGCCTAAACGAGGAGATTCAGATGTTTCAATGTTTTCATGCGATGTTGTAAGTCAAAACTTTTCTCTTCGTTTCATTTAACAGCTACTGTATCCTCGCCTGATAGGCGTGGTCCGTGTGGATGAGGTAGAGAGCGCTTGGAGCGGAGCGGCTGAGCGGGGTGGTGCCGCCGGGGTGAGGCTCCTTGGAGTCGGACGGGTGGGCGGGTCGGTGGGAGTCCGGCTGGTGGTTGAGAGGGGCCAGAGGCGGCGGTGGGGGAGACAGGATGGAGGAGGACACAGGCGACAGGCTGCTCAGCCCGTCGGCAACAGAATCCGTGTTGAGCTTGATTTCTGTGTAGTAGAAGTCCTCCTCGCCGTCGCTGCAGTCTGAATCACAGTTACGCCTAAAGAAGTGACGCGTAGAGATTTGGAAAAGCAAGAGAAAGCATGTCAATCCAATGTCAATTCACCCGTCAACATTAGACGATTTATCTTTCATTCTCTCCGTTTTCCCCTGGTTTCTCACAACGTGACCAGGAGTTTTTATGCCAGTCCATAAATGCTGACTATTTAGCATCTCTGTGACTCAAAGAGCCAGAATGAGAGCTGTGGTTTGCTAAATTTAGTGATTGCTGGTGTCTCACCCCAGGTGGATGGTGCGGATGTGTCTCTGGATGCCTGCAGTGGTACTCAGCACCTTGCCACAATTCTTCCACAGGCACTTGAACATCACCTTCATGGAGTTCTGCAGGAAACACAAAACAGAAACGCCTTAATTCAGATTACGGTGATAATCGAAACTTAAAAAGTTGACTTTTGAAGTACAGATGAAAAAGCAGCATAAAGCTGTGGATAATATTTGTCGCAGAATAAATATTGTCCTCAAAAATCATCCAACAGCAGCCTCTTGCTGATGTTTTATGAAAGCGTATGATTATGCAGTCTGAAAAGACGAGATGGGTTCAACTATCTAGTTTTTTCTAGATAGTTAAATCTTGATCCTGTGAGACAAACATGAAGACCAGACTTAACTTTTCCAGAGAGAGAAAAACAAAGACCTGGACTTCTGGATTATTGTCTCTGGACAGATGAGTCTAAAAACTGAACTGACATGTTTGGCGTAAAACAACATAGAATTAAAAAATATGCAAAGTTTTTTTTTTTTTGACAGAAATTTACTTCTCCAAGGCTACATACTTTTTTTTTTTTTTTATCACTACTATGTTTTGTTTAGTGAGTCAAACCAGATTAGTTTCGGTATCGTAATTAAATCTCTCTGTTTTCCTAAATTTAAATGTGAAAAATATACTGGACATCAATATCTGAACATTTCTTTAAAAAATACAAATATTTAAGTTGTTCTAATTATTTTAGAAAAGTGTAATAATAATCAGTTTGGTTTGTTTTTATAACTGCTGGGATCAATAGCATTTTCTCTGCTCAAACATGGAGGTCTTATGTCTAATAGTAACTCCACTGTTGTTTAGGTCACAAAGAGTCAGGAAGCAGCTGCAACAACCTCTCCAACTTTGAACTGGTGATTAATCGGTCGCTCTGTTAATCAGGATGATAATTTTCCTTTACTGACTTAATCTCCATGCGCTGATTATTCCAGGGCATCAACCGTTAATCATTTCACGACGGCAACCAGAAAATAAATACGTAAAAACTGCAGACACATCTGCATTGCAGGCAGCCTTGCCTGTGGATCTGATGAAAGATGAAAGTTTTAATTAGAAGTGGGTTGTGTTTTCCCCACTGCAACTTAAAATGAGTTAAAGACAAAAAAAAATAAAATAAAATCTTTAGCAGCTGCAAGAACCAAACGTATGCATGGCTGCTCTGCTCTCAATAAAAGATCCGACTTGGTCGTCATTCATGTTTTATGTGCTCACCAAAATTGTGGAGACAATAAATTATTTATATATGTTTTACGGAGCAAACATGTGGTTCAACACTTATGTTACCAACAAACACATGGCTATCTTCTGAACCCTCAAAACAGGAACACGGGTTTTAAACCAAATTGAAATGCCTGCAAATTTCTCCTCAGTCTGCGTCGAAGCTGCTGTGTTCTTTACAACATGCTGTTTGTCTGTCTGCCTGTGACATATGGGGAGATGTTTGTTTTCTTTGCCTCTGTAATTCAAACCAGACTAGCATTCCTTCAACCCTCAATCCCCAAAAAATGAAGGAGGGCTGGGGTTGGATAAGCAACTTCACCGTGCAAACATTTGGCTCTCAAATATCCGGCACTGGATACACAAACCACTTGTTAATCTAAACAAGTGGCTTGTGAGGTGTTCAAGTGTTATTGATATTAAAGAACAGCATTTTTAATAGAAAATTACAGAAATTGCAGTGAAATTAGCTGTTTAAAGGCAGGTTAAAAAGGCCTACCAAACATAAGATTTCTCCTTGTGCAGATGATATTTCACTTTTTATTTCAAATCCCTATTTCAAGCCTCAATGAAACCGAAGTAGAAATGTTTTAAGACACACCAACACGTTTTTGGAGGTGCCGGGGTCATGATCAGGTTTTTTCCTCCAGCCTCCAGCTCCAGACAGCCACTGAAGGAATGAGATCGCCAACAGAAACAACTGAAATAGGTTTTCTCCACATCTTAGAGATAAGGTGTGAAGCTCAGAGTAGAGCTGCTCCACATCATGAGGAGCCAGTTGAAGTGGTTGAGGCATCTGGCCTCCCAGGCGAGGTGTTATGGACACGTCCTGTCAGGTGAAGGCCCAGAGGAAGAACCAGGACACGCTGGAGAGACCGGTTCTCGCCTGGCCTGGGAATGCTTTGGGATTCCCCCCGAGGATCTGGCCCAAGCGGCTGGGGACAGGGAAGTCTGCTTCTCCCTGCTTTGGCTGATTCCCCCGTGCGCCGGACCCGGGTAAGAAGAAGACAATGGACGGACGGATTCAGTCAAGAACATTTCCCTCGTCTCCTTATTAAGTTCTTCTCCCTCTCTGTCCGTGGATGAAACTACAAACTACTTTCACCGAAGAAAAGATTTCCCCCTGCACGCCGCCTCATCTACTCATGAAGCGGTGCTGGACACGATTCAGCCCGGTGTGCTGCTAATGTTCGTTCATCTGCTGTAATTACATCACTGGTTTCCCCTGAGAGGCTGTTTATTGTTTTCATGCAGGAAGAAAAAAGCCCTGCAGAGTTTCCCTCCTTGCTCTTCTGTCAATCAAACTTTTGTTAAAGAGTCTGATTTCATTTTGACAAGATGCCCTCCTCCGGCTACACACACACACTTTATAGCACAAATACAAGCACATGGCAATCATCTGTCCTCTGAGCATTGTTCAGTCTTGACTGTGTTGTGAGTTACGGAGGGTGCGCTCCTGAAGAAACCCTTCACAGTTAATTAATTGGGGGCTTCAAATGGTATTGTGCTGCCAAGAGAAAAAGACCACAGGAGGCGAACGCAGATTATCTGCTGTGAAGCCTCACTGCTACATGTACCACAGGGCGGTGAAAAACTATTTGATTTATAGAAAACCACAAATTTTACAGTCAGGCAAGTATAACCAGAGTTAAGGAAAAGAAGAGGATTTCAACTGATGGTTTTTATTTATCGAGGGCAAAGAAGTTATCCAAGCCAAACATTAACCTCGGTTGTCCTGAACAGTTTGACAGAACTGAGCAGACCTGTCGATGGTAAAAACTTTTCACAGCTTGTATGAGTGCATGCTCAAACTCCTCCAAGTTCGTGTTTAACTTTTCATCTGAGCCCTTCATCCATCTTCAGCTTTTCCCATTTCTAAAAGTTTTTCCGCCTCCCACCGAGACCCAATCCGTCAGTGCCAAAACTCCAAGAGGGGACATGAAGCCGGAATGATCTTTTGTGTTTCTTTGTCACTGATATAAAAATCATTAAAAGGTGCAAAGGGGCGACTGAGAGGGAAAGGAGAGCAGTAAAAATGAAGAGTGAAAGTCTGGGGACGACCGACATAAGGAGGTAAAGAAAAATTGCAGTGAAGGAGCAGGACAGGAAGAAGGAAAGAAAGCAGAAACGAGAGACGGATGGATGATCGTGTCAGGGAAGCGGAACATAGCAGCGGCGATAAGAGGAGGAAGCACAACACGATGTATACCTGAGAAATAATAAGTGACAGTGAGCTGTCAGGGTGAGTGAAAATGAGACAAAATGAAATGATGGGTGAGAAAAAGAGCACTGTGTGTGTGTGTGTGTGTGTGTGTGTGTGTGTGTGTGTGGGGTATGCTCCATCTTGTTCCGTCCCTCAGAGTGTGGATCAGAATCAGGCTGAATAATAACACTGATGTGAAGTTGAGATGTCCATCTGGCAGGCGGCGACTCAGAGTTCCTGCTCTTTCATCTTCTATTAGATCAACAATAATGTCTTAAAATAAATAAAAAAACACACACTTTTCTCTTTAATTATGCCCTCCATCTGGACTCTAAAGTCATCCACACCCACACTTAAAAAAAAAAAGTTGTTTTTCAGAGGAAAAGCTGTTTCGTTTAACTTCTACACCATCATATTATTTAGGCTTGTTTCACAGTCGCAAAACCTGAGGAACTTGACATTATTAAGTACAGAATTCCTGTTTGGATATAATTGCTTAATAATGAAGCAATCTGTCTGACAGAAGCTCAGCTGTAACTTGTTCAACTACAGCCTAAAAATCCCAAAAAACAGCACCAGACTGTAGCAAAACAGCTGAGAAAGAAGCGAATTATTGGCTGTGTGTGGCTCAGTCAAAGTCCAGAATAAAAGAAGAAACAAACGTCTGCAAATCTCAAAGAGCTGCAGTAATGTTGGTTCGAACTGTCACTGTAAATGTTGTTTGTAGTTACTGCTGTTACTGTTACTGTTGTATCAATTGATTACTAACAAATATTACATTGTGGCATCTGTTGTGTGTTATGGGAAACTTCAGGATGAAGTTAAATACTTTAGAGCTTAAAAGTTAGTTAGTGATCATTTTCATTAGGTCCTGATATTGGGGTGTATTTATTTTTTCTCTCACTGCTGTATTTGATGTTATGACAATAACTTATATCAAAAGTAGTTTTAGTCCATTTATTTTCTTGCATTCCAGCTTCCGAGCTGATTTAGTGAACTCACCTTGCGCTTGCGCGGGATGGGCTCATCGAACAGCAGACTGCTGCCGTCCTGCTCGTCCAGACTCGGGTCCTCCACCCCCGGCGGGTTGGACCCCACGCCGCCCACGCTTGGCACACGGAAGGGCTTGAAGCTGTCAGCTGAGAGCGGCGGCGAAGGCGTGGAGGGATTGGACTGGTCGCTGGGCGCCGACCAGCTCCAGTAGCCTCCTGAGGAACTGTTGCTGGACGGGGTGAAGGGTCCAGCGGAGCCGTTGTCCTTCCACGAACCGCTGAAGCCCTCTGCGGAGATGGACGCGAAGAGACGGAGGAGGACAGGGCAGAGAAAAAGGAAGCAGGATCACACAGCAATAAGACGATGAATCTTTCGGACCGCGCTCTTTTAAGAGCAAAAAAACTCTTCATCACTTAAGAGTTTTAGATACATTTGAATAACTATCATAGTGAATGAACTGGACGAACAAGTCATGGGAGACAGATTTAGTCATTTTACAGATATTTCTTCATTTTTTCATAAACCAGATAGTCGTGAAGGAGAGCGCAGCTGACGGTGAAACATAACTAGCTGAAAATATCCTACTTCCATTGCAAGCGATGCTTTATATTGACATTTTTAAATAAAACCATCTATTTTAAAAACTATATAGAATTTGACAATAGTGGTGGTATACATGCCAGTAAAATGACAAAAAAGTTTCTTAATCTGGAAACTAATGGTTGTTTCCCCAAAGTCTTGCAACAAAAATTGGTTCTTTGAATTATTGGCTCACGGGGACATTTCTGATTTTATGTTAAAATCATGTATTCTATCTCACTTCACAAAATAACACAATGAAGTCCAAAAAAAGCACCCAGAGGTTTGTAGTTCCAACTAAACAAAACATGGGAAAGGAATACTTTTGCAAGTCGTTGCGCTTTACATGGATGACAAAAAGAGGAGAGTCATGTAAGTTCATCTTCATTTCCACTTCACACAGACGGAGCCTGAACCTATACAGTTCACTTCCCCGTTCTGTGATTCCACCGAGACAATAACAAGGTCGTGCTTTTGTAGATCAAAGAAACATTTCCTTTGAATACCAACTACAAAAGACATCTCATTTTAGCAAAAAGATATAAGCCGAGTGAAACGTTGAATATCTGTGTGTGTATTTAACAGAGTTAGTGAGAGAGACCCAGTTTTGTTCAGTAAACAGCTTCCCAGCAGCGAGTCTCTTCTCTCATACTTTTACTTTACCGCAGTGGTACTTTACAAAGACTTCAAAGCGTCTCATCTTTGATGTAAAAAAATAAAATAAAAATGCATTTATGTCTGAGGTGGAAAAAATTAAGTATAATAAGCTAAAATTCAATTATTACAAGTGCATTTTCAAGTAAAATTTTGCGTGAACGTTCATCTAACATCTGTTGTTGCTTGAGCTTGCCGTCTTTTGTAAAAGCTAATTGCACATTTTCAAATGCAAGGCCGTGACGTCTGCGTAAAAACAGCCACTTAAGGCTGGGATCTCAAATATGTAGAGGCTGGCGTCATGCTTCGCTGAACGGACAATCTTGTGGTGGCATAAATGGAAAAATTAAAAATTGCAGCACATGTTTACGTTTTGGATTCCTGCCACTATGTTGGGTGGCACAGCTCCAGCTTGTGTGTGCTTCTCTGTGGATTTTCCCAAATTCAATGATGAAGCAATCCAACAGCACAGCAGGCAGTGGTAATCTATCAACCAAAGCTTCTGCGTGCATTCACAAGATAACAGCTGTGAGGGAGGGAAAACATCAGCATGGAGAGGAGAATACAAATTACTGGGTCGGTGTGAAGCAACCTCTCCGTGTTTTGTGGACGCGGAGACTCCGCTTCGTCTGGAGCTGCATTTGTCGGACGTGCAACTCACCGCTGACTTTGACAGGCGGACTCCTGACCAGCGGGCTGGTGGAGAGGCTCGTCAGCACCATGGCGGCCGTCACTTTGTCCATGTCCACCTCCTCCTCTGACCGTCTGTGAACCAGAACAGAAATGGAAGAAATCCTGAGCATCTTCTGATTTATGACGGTTTGTGTTGACCGTGACAACTTATTTGAAAACTTTTTCCACACATGCTATAAAATTCATCGCATACAATTAAACTATGAAAAAAAAATCTGAGCGAAAAACATCAAAAATGAAGGTTGGACTTCAGAGTGACGAAAAATAAAACCCGAAGATTATCTCCAGCTGGCTGAGACTTGAAGGTTTTGAGTCAAGATATCGCCGTTAAAACAAAAACATAGTTCCGCCTTAGGAATAGGAAAACCACAGCTTTTTAAACTTTAAGTTTAGTTTTAAGAACCACATCTGGATGTTTAATTTGGAAAGAAACCTGTACAGCTGCACAATGTATCAAATTGCAACATCACTGTGCGCAATACTACAAGTGCAAAGATCTCATTGGATTAAATCTTTGTCATTTTAATCTTATTCTTATGACTTCTGGTCTGTTTATTCAACATGCAGTCTGAACGCTCAGACTGCATGGATATTTCTGTGGCTACATGTTACACTACGAATATGAAGATGAAGGAAAAGAATAATAAAGGGACAAGAAATGTTGGGTTATTTACAATTGTTTCCATCATTTTAATATTTATCCAGGTTTTCCTGAAATCACGCATCTTACTAATAATTTTAGTAAGAACGCCAACTTCAAAAAACACAATGAGTGCTTGTGTTTTTCACGTCCGTCAGCCAGATGTTTCAGATAAGACACAGACCATGTGGTCTGCAGACTACTGCACTGTCTGCAACATACGCCACTAATTACATTCAAGTGTTTGTTTTGTTAAGTCCTTTGTGAGCAACTGATGCAACCGCTCATGCCCCACTCGAAATGTCCAAGAACCAGGATGTGGTATTCTGCAGAGACGAAAATAAATGATAAATATTTGCTTTGTCTAAGTGAAATGCACAAACCGAAGCCGAGTAGATGGGTGTGTTAATCCTGTTGCATGCACCAGTCCTACGAGTAAAACATAAACTGTGATCAAAAGAGATGTCAATACCTTCATCACTGACGCTCTCTACCTGAGCTGTAATCTCACTATTAATAAGACGAGCACCGTGTGCTCAGACACGTCAGTCTTTGATGGTGCATGGATGTCAAACCATCAAGCACGATCCGTGGAGGAACATGACATCAGCCACCTCAGATTTTCATAACAGACGAGTTAAAAAAAAGAAAAAACAACCGCGTCGGTACTGCGGCGTGTACAGTAGGAGCAATGTTGAAACGAACACTCTGTTGTTTACTTGAAGAAGAAAATTCCAACAAAACCAAACCGATTTGTGTAGATCAAGCCAGTTGGAAATTGCGACCACAATAAGTCGCTGACTTTGCTGTGGTTGCAGTGGTCCATCAGTGGTAATTATTTACTCCAAACATGGCCGTACATAATGTTGAACATTTAAAGGAAGAGTCGCTTTGAACCAAAAACGGCTCAAAGTGGTGAAGAAATCTATTTTCAGAAAAAAGCTGGATTAAGGTGTGTGACGTCATAAGCACAAATGTATAAATATATATTCTAGGTGTCACCAGGTGGATTTTCAAAATTAGTAAAGATGTATTCAATTAAACAAATTGTTGATTAGGTCAAGTTTTAAAATACCTAAATAAACAAAATGGATTTGATACTTGAGCTTCCATTTTCGTTTTTTTTTAATTGTAATAATTTTTTTTTCAAATTATCAATATTTGGAAAAGAACTAAACTATTGTGACCTAATATTAAGTCAAAAGCAAACACTATTAAAAAGTTCAATGTGATGCAAAAGGTTTATTTTTCATTGGCTTAATGCTTAGATGCACTTGAAAATGAATAGAAATATGAGTTTCAGACTTTCCAAACAAGGATAAAACACCAAGCTTGAGTCATAAACAAGCAATGAAAGCATCTCCTCCCGTTGCCAGAAAACGCTGCCCTTGAGCACACACTGAGGACGACCTTCAACTGGCAGCTTCAGAGAACTTGGTGCACCGTTCACAAAGGCTTCAGCTTCAATGCGCAATGGACTCATTCTTTCATTATTCAAGGCAAAAACATGCAAGAAAAAACTAGTTTTCTCTGCAGTTGCATCGTTTTGTCAGTTTTTTTTTTTACCATTAAATGCACTTCTACTTTTAAGGTTTGTTGGTGTTTAAAAACAGATGAAACTGGCACATTACATGATGCTTAGATAATTGATTACAGCGAGCATCACACTGCCTGATCTGCACTGAAGAGGTGTCTCTTTGTGTCCGTTTGGTCCACTCAGACCTCTGACAGCCACTTTGTGTGTTTTTCCAAATGTATTTATTGGGCTTTTATTTTGGTAGACCTGAGCTTCAGGGAGAAATGAGGCTCTGTGTTTCCTAGTCCAGAACTGAGGGGGATTTCCAGAGTTCCCTCCTAAACAGAAACAGACCTCAGAGGGATTTTTGTCAAGAGCTACTTTCATTTAAGGCTAAACAGTTGAAGCTAATGTTCAAAAGATTCCTTCAGAAAACAAGGTTTTGTGTCTGTTATTATTAAAAACATGTGGTGTGGAAAAGCAATACTGCAGCAGAAACAATAAGTCTGTTTTATCAAGTGCCACTTTGTCTGTTTCTTTGTTTTATTGGGGGCTTTTGCAATTTTTATTGTTTGGCAAGTGACTACTTTCAGGTAAGAAATAATACAACACTGCCAAGGGTTTTCATGGGCTGATCATGAATAAATTGTTAATAGTTGTAATCTTCTCCTTTGACTTTCTGATCAGGAGTGTTCGGCTGGGTCAAGCATCGACTGGAAATCTCTACAATGGCTACATTCTTTAAAAACACACTTCCAGAAATCCAAACTTGTTTTTGGAGAGAGTTGAACTTCACCAAGGTTTCCCTTTGCCACCGATTCTGGTCATAATCTTTATGGACAACATTTCTTGGTGCAGTCAAGGTATTGATCAATTTGGTTCTGTTGGCTTAATTAGATTGCAATCTCCAGCTTTCCCTGGAGAAGGTCACAGCCAATTATGAAGCAGCCAGGACGAGAATCAGTACAAAATGTCCAAAAACATCGTCCTGGTCCACAAAATAGTGGCCACTCTTCTCCAGCTTGGAGATAAGCTGCTGTTCCAAGTGAAGGAGTTTAGGTATCCCAGGGTCTTGTTTAAGATTGGCGGATTGGTGTGGCAAGTACAGTGATGTGTAAGTTGTACTAGACTACAAAGTCAGAGCAAAGTTCTCGATTCATCAGATGATTTATGCTCCTGCCCTCATCTATGGTGATGAGCCCGGCTAGTAACCAAAGGAACAAGATTGTCAATACACGCGACCAATTTAGTTTCCGCTGCTGGGTGTTTGAGCTCTTCCTAAGAGAAAGGGTGACAAGCTCGATCAACTGGGAGGGGCTCAGCGTTGGGGCTGGCCTGGGAATGCCTTGAGATTCCCCTGCAAGGCCTGGTCCAAGTGGCTGCGAGAGGAAAGTCATGATATTCTGATTACTCTGCTGCCCCTCTGACTTGAATCCAGATTGAGCTCGGGATAATTCATGGATTAGTGGAACTTTCCCTCTAAGGTTTTGATCAGAAGTGTAAGGAATCTCTTAAAAATAAAATAAAAAACACACTTTCTGAAACCTGAAAAACTGACAGTGAAAACTTTTAGTCTTCCACAAAATATGCCTAAAATGTTGCCTTCTGTCTAGTGCAGTTTTGTGAATAGAATGTAACATTACACCAAAAACATAAATCCATAAGTAATACTTTAGGAAATGGGCATAAAACTGTTGGCTGACAGGCCCACATGGAATAAAGACGTTATGAAATGAGAGCGTGTGGACATGAAAAGGCAGTATAAATTGGTAAAAGTTAAATCCAACAAGAGCTGGTGTACAAAATAACACAAGATTCATTAAATGATTTATTTTTCAAATCACTCGCTCATTTAATGCATATAAGCACATCTGCTCTGCAAATTTGCAACATAATTCAAGTTGCAGTCAGACTCCTAAAACTCAGCATCTCCTCATTAATACTTCAGTTGTGATTGAAGTCCATAATTAAAAGCTTATTTGCACGGGGAAAGCACAAGCTATGAGGGAAGAGAAAAAGAGCGTTGGGCTACAAAGAAAGAGGCGCAGCCTCCATTAGCTGATGGCTAATTTATAACCCTTTCTTCTGCTAAATATGATGTCATTACAGCTCGCACATGAATCAAGAAAGGAAGCTGCACACACAGCTGTCACTTTTCCCCATAACCCCCGCCCCGCTTCGCTGTAAAACGCTGTCCTGGTCACCTTGGGAGGACATCAACCGACTGCAGATATTATCTCCACCACAACAGTGTCAGAAAATAATTACTGAGAGATTTGTCTGTCTCGACAACCAAACAAGTCAATCTTAGGAAAACAGATTAGGAAGACTAATAATTAGGATGTGGTGTTTTGGGAGAGGGGAGAGGTATGAAAACAAAAATCCCAAATCACATCATTAGTGGTTCTATCAAACTTAAACTGGTTATTACGTATTAAATGAACATGCATGTGTGTTTGATGACACTGTTAGGTGCATGATACATGGGTAACAGGAGGTGGTTAATGTATTGCTAAGTGAATTCTGAGAAATGAGTTTAATTTGTTTGAATTTTTGAGTCAGTGTTTTAATCTTCTCACTTTAATCATCTGCAATAAAGCGTGTTCTTGGATCCGACCCCCGAGACTTCCTGAAAGGGACATTATCCAGGATGTATATGGCGGCATTAACACAACTCTGCAGTGGGTGTTAAGAGCCTGTTTACTAAAGCAGGTTGTACGAAATAGATCCATGTAATTTCATCTTGCTGCAGGCTGCTCATAAATAGAGAGTAAAATTACATATGAGATGCTGTTAATGTGGTTACAGTCGATGAAAGACTGACAAGACTTTCTTTCTCTAAAACAAACACTTTAATTTGAAAGTGTGCTTTTAATGTACTGACACCAGTCAGAATAAATGACCTCTAAAACCTTT